TAAATCACTGCAGGTCTGTTTGCAGTGGCATTGCAAGGGAGCACAGTGACACAATAGATTCACCAGAACACAGTACCTGGTCAGTAGCGGGAATCGACTCCCATCTACGCTTCAGCAAGTACAGAGATTTCCGGCTCATGGTTTTGAATCTGCTCTAGAGGCTTTTCACACTCAAGAAAAAGGCTTCTTCCGAAACAGTGCTGAGAACCTTATTTCTGACTCCTCTGCTTCATGGCTGTAGACGGCAGAGCTCCCCGACGTACAGAAGTTTTGAAAGCTGCAGGGTTCAGACCGTTTTTTTCCCAATCTTCCTCCGTTTCTTTAAAGCATCTGTCTCCTTATAGTGCCATGACAAAGGGAATCAGGCGAGATAGTGAAAAGCCTAGCTTTCACTGACGAATTACCTCGCAGAAGCATGAAGTAGGTAGACAACACCAGACGCACTCAATCTGAAAATAGCTGTTGCTTAGGAACTGGAGGGGTAAAACGCAGCACCTCAGATATATAATTGAGAGCTTTTTATATTTAAAGAGAATTAAAAACACTGGACCTTACTGTTTCTCTCCTGATCACCATCCCTTTATGATGCTGGAAGAACGATCACTCGATTCCACTGAATCCTGGGGCTACGCCTACATCTTCAGCAAGCCAAACAAGGCTTGATGACAGAGCAGCAAACAACTCCCATGCATTCAAGGTCCTTGAAAATGGCTGCAGAATGTGTATTGTGGATGCCACTTGAAGTACCGTTGAATAATTAAAATACAGTTTGCCTAATTGCCAAGAATTGATTCTAGTAGTCAAATTTTCTTTTTACATGTACTGACATTAGAAATAAACATGGATATTTTCCCCTTGCACAAGTTAGATGATGTGTTTTATATACAGAAAGACTTCCTTAGGTGAGGTAAAAATTCCTAAGCATTTAGGAATTTTTCAAATTTGGAATTCTAGTTCTGAAGTTTTAGTTGTGGATCTCAATCAGTCTTAATCTTAAAATTCAAGCATGCAACATAATAAAATCCACTTTGCACTTTCTGCATGATATCACATCTAGAGAATAAGCTTTTCACAGGAAGAATTAACAGCAGGAAGTCTTATTTCTAGAGATTAAAAAATGAAGGAATAAATGAAGAGGTATGTACTGCCATTTACTCTTTTTAAATCAACATGCAATTCACACTAGCAGTTTTAAAGAAAAGTTATTTTAACTGAAAACACATGCTTACAACTATACAAGGGCTGCTCTGAAGGTAACGCCTCCTATTTTACCACATTGGCTCATAATGTCAGAGGCGGATGTAGCAGAGGTTGAACCTTCCAACCAATATCCTGTGGCACCTTGTTGCTGTGCGAGAGATGAAAGCAGAGAGGCAGTCTGACAAAATACTGTCTGAAATGGAAATGTGTGTGAAGCAAAGGTGTGACACTGAATTCTACCATACAGGAAAAATGCAAGCCAGTGACATTCATCAACGCCCTCCTGAATGTTCATGGAGACCAAACAGTGGATGTGAGCACAGTGAGGTGGTAGGTGATGTGTTTTGAACCAATACAAGGCTGAAGATGACAATTTCCTAGATCAGAGTATTAATCAGTAACCACTACTAGCTGGAGTCAAAAGGGCAGTCCATGGAGAGGCAACATGGGAATTCCCCATCAAAGAAAAAGTTCAAGACATAGTCCTTGGTGGGTAAAGTGATGTTCACTGTCTTCTAGGTTAGGAAAGGGTTGATCATTCTGGATTTCCTGGAAACCTTACCAAACCATCAGCTCTGACACTGACTAAACCCAAGGCTCAAACTTTCAGTCAGGAAAGAAGACAATCTTTCTCTGGCAACATGATAACACCAGGCCCCGCACCAGTTTGAAGACCATGAAGCACACTGCCAATCTTGGCTGGACTGTCCTACCACACCCACTGAACAGTCTGGATTTGGTGCCTTCTGCCTTCTGTCTGTTGGGGCTAGTGAAAAATGGACTGTGTGAGCCACATTTTCCTAGCAATGATACTGTCACAGAAGCTGTGAAACAGTGGATCACTTCTGCTGGTGCAGATTTTTATGAGCGTGACACGAAGGCTCTTGTTCATCACTGGCAAAAAATGCATAGCTAATGGTGGTGACTATGTTGGAAAATTGCATTTTGTAGCTGAGAACTTGGTCTACCAAACAGTGCTATTGTGCTCTTTCTAACTGTTTCCATGGAAATAAATACAACGCATTATTTTCAGAGTGATCTCTGTACTTATGTGTGCAATCTCTAATGGACTCAGCGAGGCACTGGTGTGGAAGTCAGGAGAAAGTTACTTTTTTACTTGTTCCATACATTCTACTGAATCACAGATGCTTATGAGGAGACAAACTCCTGCAAATAGAAATTCCTAAAGGATTAAGACTGACATCCAGTGCTACCTGTAACTCTTTCAGTTTGCTACAAGCAGAAAAATAAACATATTTTCGAAATGGTTCATTAAGAACTATGACATGCACTAGAATATTTTCCTTTTATATTTCAAACATAAACCATAGAAAATCTACTAGTTCTAAAACAAATCATGACAGGATTAGAGTTCTACTTAATGAGTCTAGGTAGAATAATCTGATGAGTTTACATGTGAATTTTAATTTTACATTATGGTAACCCAGTAGTTCCACTTGCTTTCAAGTGATGTTGCTAACACACACACAGGTGGCTCCCTAAGATGTGTCTTCCCACTTTCCTCATAAGATTTAAAGGATCACTGAAGACCAAGAGAATCCACACCCCCTTTCTTCTCCTGTTGTTACTTGCCCAGTCACTGGCCAATAAACACCTCTCAGTTTCCAAGTCCCATTTTTCTGCTGGAGGAAAGATCCTCAGACCTAGGGAAACCCCACAAGCAGTGACAGGACAGTTCCCACACGCAATTTCCAGTCCATCTCGAAAGAAAATTACTCACCTTATTTTTTAAACAGGACCTTGTTAAACAAAGGGTAAGTTTACTAAGGATAGAAATTGGAAACAATGCAACTGAATCACAAAAGGATTAAACCTCCTATCTTTTATGTTGTATGTAAAAATTGTCCTCAACTTTTTCTCACCTTCAAAGAAATTATGTTTAACATTTGCTATCATAAGACAGTTTTCATAGTCATATAAGTAAGTCTGAAGCTGTAGTACAATGAAACAAACCTCTTTTTGCTCCACTACTGAAAATCTTCTCGTTATTTCCTGTGACAGAGTATTATGACACCACATGCTGCTTAGAGAGCTTGGATCCCTTTTTTTTTTCCCCTCGTCTTATTCAAGATCCCGTAACATTTCTGTGGCATATACTGATTGACAGATTTACAACATTCTTCCAAGATTTATAATACTTTGTAGAAGTTTGGAAAGCACCCACACATGGAAAAAATGAAATAAAAGAGTACTGAGAAATAACTTGATCAAAACTATGTACTTAAAGATGAATACCTACACAGATTTTCAGAGCACCATAGAACCATAGAATGGCTTGGATAGGAAAGGACCTACCTCAAAGATCATATAGTTTCAGTCTCCATGCCAAAAACAGAGCTGTCAACCACTAAATCAGGCATTAGATCAGATTGCCCATGGCCCCATCCAACCTGGGCTTGAACACCTCCTGGGACAGGGCAATCACAACCTCTCTGAACAACTTGTTCCAACACCTCACCACCCTTTCAGTGAAAAATTCACTCCCTAATCTAAATCTCCCCTCTCTGAGTTTAAACCGTCCTACCACTATCTACCTGTGTAAAAAGTTTATTTTCCTCCTCCAGTTTTCTTCAGTTTTGAAGGAACACACTTTCAGGGGTTACCATGACATAACAGTTTTGAAAAGTTCTCAAACAACTGGATAGAATTTACTGAAATTTCTATCTTTCCATCACAAACTAGCTTGCTGTTATGGGAAAAATCAGCTCTTAATCCACCTTATACTGTATAATGAAATGCTAAACATCCTGCAAATTTCAAGATGGATTTGAAGTAAGATGTGAGGCAGAAGACTAAAAATCTTAGGGAAAAAAATGTAGAATTCTACAATCACAAGGGCAAGAAAGTAAAAGGATGGTTTAGTAAAAGAGCTCTGCACTGGAAACAGCAAACCGTGTATATTAACAAAACATGTAGCAGCTTTCAGATTCATATACAATATTTTGTCAATAAAAAGGCTGCTTCTCCAGTGATTTTTGCAAGGGAGAAGATGAAGGATACTCCAATAACTACCCTATTGAAATTAAGGCTGCAAATAGCCAGGTAGCTTCATAGCAGCAGGGCTTGTTTATTATCTATTTAGACTTAGATGTTCACAAATCTTTCATCTGAAAAGCAGATCTAAAATACAGAAGCCCTAATAGCGTATGTACATAATTTCAGTACCAGACGGGAGATACTGCTTTTCCCAAGCATGAAAATTCATGAGCATCATATTAGTAGCAGTATCTCCCTTGCAGTAATTCTAATTCTACAGATAATTGTAAAGAGTTTCAGCGTGATGCTATTAACCGTAATAGCATAACTTCCTTTCAGCGATGAGTCAACAGCAAACCAGCAGCTACGCATAGTTTCCCCCCACCACCCTGTACAGTTCTAACACCACTAATCCCTTTATTATTGAAGAAGATGAGAAAGCCATCCAAGTTTTACAAGTTTGTCAGGATTTTTTGAAAGAACACACTTTATTTGAAATTGCATTCCTTTGTGTTGCTATTTTGATGAATATAGTAAGGTAAGAAATGCTTTTCAGCACATGTGATACATCTTTCTGGTACTAAAATAAACTTCTTTCTGCTGTAATACTCGGCTCTGCTTGATTCAACTGCTTGGATTAGAGCTCAGAAATTACAGTAGAGAAAGCTATGACAGTTTTATACTTTTTTTCTACTGATTCAATCTTTCACATATTAATAAAATGAACAATTCTATCAATCTTAGAAAACCTGCTTGAATACCTCAGACTTACAAAAAGAAATACACAATATCAAGTAACTGACCTGTGATCCTCTGGGTCCTCGTTTGTGATCCCATTCAGAATGTCCCATGAGCTAAAAATAAATCACAAAGAAAAGCACAGGTAAGTGATAAATTGCACCAATTCGCTTTGAAACATTCATGCTTTGATGTTCATCAAAAATTTCCTTTGAGAGGAAAAAAAAAAATCTTTTATGATTTAATTCACACTGCTTTTAGCTTCATGATGAGAGTGAGAAGTCTTCGGAGGTGTCACTGTAAGTTTGTACCTGTACGGTCAAATCACATCGAGCATCACCATGAGCACGACACTGCTCGTGCCAATAAAATTTCCACTGTCAGATTCAGTGTTTGCCAAATGTTTGCAGTAAAACTGGCAAAAGGAGAGCTGACATTTCAATGAGATCACCAAATCCAGTGGACTCTTTGTTAAGTCGCAGTGTATTTTTTTTTATACCAGGAATGAAAATCAGTGACAGCTTTAATTTTGTTTCACCACTGAATTATTCTAGAACTTCTCAAGGTAATAAATGAGTAGAGGTACATCCTCAAAAGGAAAGTTGGGAGTCACTGCATAACAGGAAAGTAAAGACAGGGTATAGAGATGATGATTCTTGTGGAAATTATGAAGATGTGATGGTAGTACGCGGCTCTCGAGTTAAAGAGAAGAGAAGCATTAATTACAGCCCAACTTAAGCTCTCAAATCCTCTGCAAAGTACTTCAGCAGGCTGTGTTGTGAAAAGTATTCAGGTGTTGAACTGTGTAAGATGGACCCCAGCAGAAAAGAGTCTTCATCTTTTTCTATTACACTTCATGATATACTTCATACACCTTTATACAATTCATAATGATGTAAGGGGAAATTTTTTACTGAGAAGTGATGTGCTGGAACAGGTTGCCGGGTGAGGCTGTAGATGCTCCGTCCCTGCAGGTGTTCAAGGCTAGGTTGGATGGGGCCCTGGGCAATCTGATCTAGCATTACCACCTGGCAGCCATGCCCGTGGCAGGGGGTTGGGACTCGATGATCCTTGAGGTTCCTTCCAATCCAACCCATTCTATGATCTTATGATAACAGTAAAATAATACAGACACTCACTCTCTTTCTCTAATCAGCATACAGTTTGTATACATTTGTTCTTTCCACAGGAATGATGAGGGAACAGAAAAGAGAAGATATGCAGTAGGTTTCATTACTTCTATATGTACCTGCAGGTTACGTGCAAACGTGAACTACTGACACCAAAGCTATTCTCAAGCCTGACAAAAAACCTAGGAAGGCCCCAGCGAGTGACCAGGCACAGTGTGGTGCTGCCCAAGCTGTCCAGCACAAAGGTCGTACTTCTCCGTGTTCTGCCAACACACATGCCAGCCCAGGAGCTCACTGTTCCTCAGTTGCCTAGGGATATCTTCTGGGTAAGCTTTGCTTTACCCAGAAAAGCACAGACTAATGCAAATATTAAACTACAGTGATGACAACAGGAGGGTTAATATGACACTCAGTGACTTACAGTTGTAAGCATTTTCTTATTCCTTTCCCCTCCCCCAGAATTCCTTCGTAAAGGAAATGCCTTCTTCCACATCAGAGGTAAGCAAAGAGATTTACAACCTATGCTTATTGCAAAACATTCATCCTAAGACAAAAGAGACTAAAAATACTTTTGAAAAAAGACGAAAGGCAGAGACATCTCATATGAAATCTCTATCTTCTCCATCAACTGTTTTTAGCCACCTTCTTTTCTGTAACTTACTACATATAACTGCCCACTCCCATAATTTGAGATAAACTAGCCACACAGGTAAGTATCAAAGATCAGAAGTTTCATGCTGTAAAAAAACCCAAACTAATACAGCCTTATGACTAACCTTGTTTTAATGCAATTGTTTTCCTTTCTCATATTCTGTTGGTGAAAATACTGGCTGTGTCAGGTTTCCTGACAGTTTCTCCATACTGTAGTGTTTGCTCATCTCTGTATTAAACAGAGCTTTGATGTTTATGAAAGCTGACCTCTTGGTAAACGATCAGTATGGAAAAGATACAAGAGATGCATTCAATAAAGGCTATGTGCCTCACAGTATTTCTGCTCAGACCCTCATACCTATGCTGCCTCTCTGTCTCCTGCACATCTGCACCAACATCTCTTCCGTTTCAGTTCCTCAGCCCCCACACCTTCAGGGGAAGTGGTATCCGCCTTTTTGATTTGCTTGGCTGAAGAAAAAGTAATTTGGCATGAAGCTGACCACCTGCTACTTCCAGTATGATAAAGGATATCTTTACCAATAATGTTAACAATGAACACAAAATAGATGCCATTTCACAGTTAAGAAAAAAGGCATAATGCTACAGGTCTGACTGTGGTTGTTGTGGTTCTCTCATAGACACTTGTAAGCACGTATCACACCCTCAAAAAACAACTCAGCATGAGATCCCACTGCAAGGGTTTTTATGCTCCTATCCTCACCAAGTCCACAGTCTATTGAAGACCAAATGATGGCCTAACTAACACCATGAAGATCAAGAAACACAGTTAAGTGTCACGCTCAGTTATGATTTCCATTGGAGGAGCTGGTAAGGTGGCTGCTGGTCCGGTAAGGCCCAGGGAACCAGGCTAATGTGCGGCAGAGGTGGTTACCTGTGACTACCACCAATCCTCAAGCTCACATCCAGACCTCTGCAACATGCAGTGACTTCAAGCACAACTCGTTCACCCCGTTCCTCAGTCACAGTCTGATGCTTCACATCTCGGACAGCTCCTGGAGCAATCTCCTGCAATTCCTTGACCTCACTACACCCCTGTTGTGCCTTGATGCTTCTGTGTCTTTCAAGGGCCTTTTGGTCAGGTCAAATAAGGCAGCTAAGATGATAGTCCATTGTCTCTAACAACTATTCCTTTCTCTACTTTTCAGCATTTAGCTACCAAAATCACTTACTGAAGAGAGGACAAAGTCACCAACGGGGTGACCTGTGATAAATGTATTGGGACCAGTAGAGCAACCCCTTGCTTATTTTGGCAATGAATCTGGTACTGTTTTATTAGCAAACTGCTACATCCATGAATCCATATTTCATTTAATTTCTCCACAAATGTGTCTTCATGGAATCAGATGTATTTGTATTTTTTGCTGATAGATCAATTGCCCCGAGTGTAAAAGAATTGCTACATCGTCGTCTCTCTTTAAATGTCACGTACTAAGCCAGTAACTTCTACTGAATATCCTCTGGTTGTTACCAGCTAAAATGAGGAACATAAAGAAGGAAAAGAGGAGTTCTGGCCTACTATGAGCTCTTGTCAACTCTAAACAGTTCTTAAGCATAGTAATAAAATATATGACTCTATAAAGTCAACATTTTTCCTCTGATTTTTGTAATCTACCAAAATTTGCTTGGCTTTAAAATACATTTCTTCCTCACACTCTAGAAAACAGTTTTCAAGTCATGCTAGAATGTTCTTGGCATATTTGCAATGGTTCACAGTAACCAAGGAGTGAAGGAAGAAAAAAAAAATATAGAGAACATTACACTTAACAGAATGGCTTCAATTTTTTAGACAGAAAACAAACATAAAACCATTGTAACAAAATCTCTATCAAGTCAACCTACAACAACCTACAGAGGTACAATTGCATAGGTATAACACCCTTTAGCTCAGTACGCCACACTGCGCTAAATGAATCAAAGAACTGTATGGGTTGGAAGGGACCTCTGGAAAGGCAGTTCATCTCTGCTGCTAAAGCAGGTTCCCTTGAGTGGATGACAAAGGAATGCATCCAGACAGGTTTTCAGTATCTCCAGAGAAAGGAGCTCCATGATCTCTCTGGCCACTCTGTTTCAGTGCTCTGTTACCTTCAAAATACCCTCACGTTCAGATAAAAATTCCTATGCTCCAGTTTCTGCCCATTGCCCCTGTTTTTGCTTCTGGCCACCACTGAAAAGAGCCTGGCATCATCCACTTAACTCCCCCTCATTAGATATTTATAAGCATTGATAGACCCCCTCTCAGCCTTCTCTTCTCCAGTCTGAACAGTCCCAGGTTTCTCAGCCCTTCCTCAGAAGGGAGATACTCCAGGTCCCTCATCATCGTTGTTGCCCTTTGGCCCCTGTCCAGAAGTTCCTTGTCTTTCCTGAAGAAAGGAGCCCAGAACTGGACACAGAACTCCAGATGTGGCCTTCCCAAGACAGAGTGGTGGAGTATCACCTCCCTCAATGCTCTTTTTAACACATCACAGGATACCACTGGCCTTCTTGGCCACAAGAGCACACTGTCAGCTCATGGCCAACCTGTTATCAACCAGAATGTCCAGGTTCTTCTCTGCAAAGCTCTTTTCCAGCTCCTTTCCTAAATCTGCACTTATGCATGCAGTTATTCCTCCCCAGGTTCAGACCCTATTTTCCCTTGCTGAATTTCATCAGGTCTCCGCCCAACTCTACAGCCTGTCCAGGTCTTGCTGAATGGCAGCACAGTCTTCTAGTTTGTTAGCCATAATGACAACAGTCAGAAACAGAGAGAACACACATAAACTACCTGAGTCTGAGTCAATCTTCTGAAACCAGAATATGAGCGGAAAAAAAGTATTTAATTGGTGTGTGCAAGTAAACAGAGAGGCAGACATAAAAGCACATTTGGAAGTAGAAGGATTTATTTTTATCACTAACAGAAGGGTTTGTTCCAGATCCTCCAATTTCCTCCCCAAACTACTAGGAATTGATTTGGTCCAGAGTCATGGTAAATGACTTCAGATTACTCAATTACTGACCATGCTGGAGTTAAGCATACCAGCAGCAGAAAAGGTAGGATAAAGCCAAAATCAAGCTCAAATATGCGGACATGAAGTTTATCTTGCTCAGAAGGCAAGCACCTACTTTGAATTTCATCCAAAACTGTCCTGGAAGCCTAGATCTGACAGTTTTAACTCAAAGAGAAAGGCAACTTTCAATAGCAAGAACAACTCCTGCACGTTCAAGAATGCTTGAAAAGATGGGCTCCATGGAAGCCAACTGGCTTGCTCTACCCTACAAATTAGCTAACAGGTCCATAGGGAAAACAGCCTCTCTCTCTCTCCTGGATCATGAGACAT